TGTGGTCCTTGATCCAAACAGCTTTTTGGACCGTGTTCATGTCATATACATACACATTAGCTGTCTCAGAATGAAAATCTTTGGCTAAAATGTACATGTGAGCATCAACAGTGACTGACTAAGGCCAGTGTTGTTGAAACTTTATGATATTTTGGGGTTTATGATTAATCAGGTGATTTGAAGTGGAAATGTTGTGAACTAATATTAATTTTTCTGTTGTATAACTTTCTGAAGTACCTTAGTTTAGAGAAAAAGATGAACTGCAAGATGATTGACGTGCTAATGGCTAGGTAAGATTGAGGCGACTACAGTGAATTTTTGGTATGTTAATACAAACCTCCTCATTATTTACACACCAATAGAGTTTGCATAAGAGGTTTTGTTTTAAATGTTATGGTTTTTGGTAGTTGCACATGGGAGTGGGTCTAGTCTTTGGGTGATGCCATATTAGGCGCCATGTTTCCTTCTAGCCCGTTAGGACAAAATGCATTTACTGATTTGTAACAAATGGTTACAAAACTTTCACCATTCAGAAACGTTGTTGTACACTTTTACCACTTCGCTTGTTGCCTGTGATTAAAGGGAGTCTGATGTGTGTCGTTTCACTGGAGGTTGAACCATCTCTCAAAGAACACGTTTGAGAATTGTGCTCTCAGGGATTTTTGACCCTAATGGCCATCCGTTGGTAAGGTCTTACTTAAACACAAAAATACAGCTTGCTTGCAATGATTTAGGTATGTACTGCCCCCTATCGCCAGGGGAAGTACACACTGTCACTTTAAATGCCAGGTGCATAAACATTTTGTGATTTTAGTTGTTTTAAGGCTGTAAAATTCAACTTTAAAAGCTCTCTCGCTTCTGAAATCATACAAAGTGCTATATATAACAGCAAATAGTAATTGCTTCTTTTTACTGAGCCATAAAAAAGATCTGATCGATCCTCTGAAGTTGTGTATTTAGTTGAAATATTGCCTTAAACGCACAACAGCTGATGTGAAAGTAAACCTGAGTCACCTCCATTGGCCATACTGCTGTTGACCAGCTTGTTCATCAGGTTGTGACTGCGCTCTACGGTAGCTCGCTCATGGTTATTGAGGTACGGTGGGATGTAGTTGGAGGTCAGCTCCTTGAGGATCTTCTTCTCCAGCGTTGTCTCCTTGTGGTTACTGTGGGTGCCGTAGCCACCGCTGCTGCGATCCAGTATCTGAACGCAGTCGCTCAAGTACTCGCTGCTGGCCATGCTGAAGTTGTTGGCATGATTGCCATTAAGAGGAAGCGTGTCCATAACGCTCGTGTCTCTGGCGTTGTTCAGGATGCCCTCTGTGAAAGGAGTCATTCCAAACAAAATATGTATTAGGACTCCTAACTAAAACAGCATGAGTGTTTCTCAGAGTAAAGCTAGGGATGGGTACCGAATTCTGTACTTTTTAAGGCACCGACCGAAGTCAAACGGTGCCTCGTTTCAGTACCCGTCCTTCATAACGAGAACTTGCTTAGACAGCTGCGCATGCGCAGGAGCCTTATGTCGTCAGTCGCTGCGAGCCAGTTGTAAACAGAGCAGCATGGTAGAAAGAACGCACGCTAAAGCCTGGGTCCACTTCACTAAATGTGATGGGTAACTGGGTGATGATGAAACCAGCGACAACGATCTAAGTGAGACATCCTCATCTTAATCTGCTCCAGTAGGTAAATAAAATGTTTAATACAACGTTAGCTTGATATGTTAGCTTCCGTTTTGTTAATGGTGCGTTCGTTTTCTCCTCGGAACTCCGAATTTCCGACTAGAAGAACATGAACGCGCATTTAAGTTTGGCTTCACTTTACTAAATGTGACGGGTGATTGGGTGAAGATGAAACCAGTGACAACGATCTAAGTGTGAGGCATCATCGTTTTAATCTGCTCCAGCAGCTAAATAAACTGTTTAAGATAACGTTAGCTTGATATGTTAGCTTCCATTGCCACCGTTATCAGCTAATGGTGCGTTCGCTTTCTCCTCGGAAATTCTAACTTCCCAGTAGAAAAAAACCAAATGAAAAAGGACGGTAAAAGGAATGAAGATACACAGTAAATTTAGTTCACAGTAAAGATGTTTGCTTCAGTTTAATTATCAGTTTATGAAACTACAAGGACGATGTTAAAATACAAACAGTTGAATGTTATTTATTGTGATATTTATCAAATATTGTCATATATTGAGAAAAATATATATTTAATTATAAAAGAGAATCAAAATAATAAACTCTCAAAAGTATCGAAAATTGGTACCGTTAAGTACCGGTATCGATTCCTAGGTACCGGGAAATAGTACCGAATCGATTCAAATGTCAAAGGTACCCATCCCTATCAACTTCAGAGGCTCAAGCTTCACTGTTACACAAAAACCGGTTTCAAGCGTCACGTTAAGTAAACACGTCACTAAAATGTACTGAGCTTTATTCCAAGTGTAAATCTAGACATGGGGTACATCATCTCTAACTAAAATATCCAGTTATTAAAACT